TAATAATAAATAGGAGGAGAAATGGATGGTAAGAAAAAAATCACTTTGTGATTTGATCGATAATAATAACAAGATTTATTTGTTTAGAAATTTAATGAAACTGCAACAAAAAAACAGAAAAACCAAAAAAAAAAAGCGAAACTAATTTTGAGAAATTGTTGTAATAATACGTTTATAGGAAAGAAATTCTTTTTGTAATTAATTTTACGCGCCTAGAAACGATAACCAACAACGCAAAGAAAAAATCTGTTAATAAATATAAATATAAATATATACATGTATATATGTATATATATATATTGTACATGTATATATATATATATTTGTACATGTATATATATATATATTGTACATGTATATATATATATATTGTACATGTATATATATATATATATATTTGTACGTCTTTGTATGTATATTGTACTGTTAGTGTAAAAATGCAAGGATAACTTGTATTGGTTATGCATTGTATCGTAATTTACAAAAATAAAATGGAACAAAAAATAAAAAATAAACAAAAAATAAAGATTAAATTAATTTAAAAAGAAACAAAAGTATTGTTAAACAAAATAAAAATCTCTAGTTAGTTAAATACGAAAAATAAATAAACAAAATCGAAAACAATGCCTCAAAATTTTTTCCAAAAATAAAAAGGAACAATTATTATAAAGCGAAATTAATTAGGAAAAATAAAAGGAAAAATAAAACAAAAAAAGCTTAGCGCGAACATAAATAAAAACAACAAAATTTGCTCCAGACAAAACAATAAATAATGATAGAATAAATAAAAGTTTTAAGAGAAGTTTGCCGATAATCACATCATGATGATGATCATGATAATGATGATCATGATGATGATGATAATGATGATGAATATATTTTTTAAAAATAAATTAAATAATTAACCTCTTTTTTAGTATACACGTAGAGAATGAAATTAATATAAAAAAAAAAAATTGGTGTCCATTAAATAATTAAATACAACAATAACAACAATTAATTGAAAAATTATTGAAAATATGTACAAAATTGAGAGGAAAATTTATTAAAATTTCAAAGCAGGTACCTTTAGCGGGGAAAAAACAGGAAAAAAAAAAAAACAAGAAGAATATGTTTACAAAAAGGACAAAACACTATTGAATTTGATAAGCTAAGCAGACTTTCAATAAAATTTAAAAGTATTTCTCAAGCGAAATAATATAAAATAAAATTCATACAATATAACAATAATAAATAATTAAAGAATAGAAACTTTGTTAAAATTTTTTATATTAAATAATTTATAAATTAATTTAATAATTTTATTTTCTTTTTTTTTTGTTCTCGTATTTGTTTATTTTTATTTTCAATTTTAGATATACTCTTTGTTACACAGATAAAATCTTTAATGCCAGTCATAAAATTTATCATTATTATTATTATTATTATTATTTATTGTTTTTTCTGCGTTTCGTTAAAAAATGTTGAAACTTGAATGTCTTTGCAATTATTTTTTGCTTTGTTTACATGACACAAAAGGCTTTAAAAGAATAAAAACAAAAGTATATCGAAATTATATGTTTGTATGTACTTTAATTATTAATTGCCATAATTGAATTATTTTTTAGGAAATGGAATAAAAGAAAAACACTTGAAAAATATACGCGAAACTGGTCGTCATCTTGGCTTATTATTGCTATTATTGCGACCTATGCAATTAACCGTTTCATCATGCCTAGTCTCTTCGAGAGGATCCATCAACAATAACAGACAAATCAAACACAATCCATCCTGCCGACCCCACATCCCTTACTTGATTACTTAAAAACATAAAGATTCACCTTTAAATCCGGAGAGAGTTTTGCAATCCGCACCTAGCAGTAGTAGAAATGCCGGGGTATTACAATATGGGAGCCGATTTTGTTATGCATGACGTTAAGCTATGGTAATCTATCGTTTCATCTTCTAGTCAGAGAGAAAGTTCTCTTGTGGTAAACGAAAAGAAATGCTTGTCTTATCTATTGCGACCTAAAGGACAAAAATCAACTGTACTTCAAATGCAACATATATTTTGAAAGCGTTGATCGATCAACCATAGTTCAGATGGTGGCTGATCTCTTGTAGTCGTCACTAATGGCCGTACAATGGCACTTTATGTCCTTTGTAAAGCCACCAAATAATTATTGCCGTTAAATAACTACGTCTGGGCGAGTTATCAACGCCACGCTCCCCTTAGGCTTTTTAAATAAAATTTAGAAAAATTATCCTGAAATATTTTTTCAACGAGGAGAGGGATTGTTCTACATTACTTTTTTCTTTTCCAAGAAAAGGTCAGCCATCAAATTTATTGACTTATTACGAATCAACAAAGTATGAAAATCTTTTTGTCTCTCCGTCTGCCTGTAGCCGAAGCACTTATGGAAGCACTTATTATATTGTGTTCATTGGCGTTGTGTCAATTGGTCAATCTGAAGAGAGACACCCCCAGATATATTTCTACCATATTTTATATTAATATTCCTTGTGGGTATTTCTTATGTTGTAAGCCAGTTTTGTTGATAAAATCCGCCCACCCCCCTTGCAAAAAGCTATCTCTTCCGAGGTACATACGCTTATTAAATTACTACCACATCAATAATTTTAAACCTGTTTATAGGTTTTTTTGGACTTGTTGTAAAGCAGAGATCTGCTCTTTTTGTGACCTTTAATGAGTGTTTCTGAATGTCAGTAATCTAACGATGTAACTTTGTATTCTCATATTCTGATGTCATCAAAAACTAAAAAACTAAATTTAATTAGGCTGTGCGGAGTTTGCTTAAAATTAGGTGGGGAAGTCAAGGTAGATTTTTGAAAAAGAAACGTCCTTTATTGCTTTAATAGAGATTTTGAAAACCTTACAGAATATGTTTTATGATGTGAACATCACTTTACCCGACGAGACTAGGTCTGTCAATTTAATAAGATTCATTGACCCGTTGATTTCTAGCTTCTAGGAAACAACAGCAGATATATTTGAAAGGTGTTTATATTCATTTAAAAGCACTTCTAAACAGAAATACGTTAGTACAACTTCGTCAAAACGATCATTGAGCAGATATGAAGGTCAGAACAGCGATTTGAAAACTTTCAATACTTTTGCCAAAAATTCGAAAGTTTGGGTTAAAGTTCTTAGAAGTTGATTATGAGTGCGAGTATTGAATTTTTAACTTTCCTCCCACGTCCTCTGTCAACGCAAAATCCAACAAATTAAAGTCACTAACGTTTCTGTCTCGAAAAGATGCAACGCAGGTGGCCCGTTCTAGCAAAAAATCAAAAAAACAAAAATAGAACCGAGAATGAAGGAATTGAATTGGGTTAGACAGTTGTATAATTCCAGACCATTGACCAGTGCCGGCTAATGCGAAAAAATTATAAGAAATTTATTACAACAACAACAACAACAATAACAAAAACACATCTATAACACATTCCAAAACTTTGAATGCGTTTTATTATGCGAACTTTTAAAATGGCTCTCATACCAACCCCTGTAATTTCAATGCTCTTCTTTTTCGACATCTTTAAAACAGCTTTCTCTGATGCAGTACCTCGTGTGCTATTCGATAGGTGAATTTATATCTTATCTACGCTGACAGAAGCAGAAGGATCCAAATAATAGTGAATTGCACAAACATTTAACGTTCCTAAAATCGTCTTCGCACGTCCAAAGCCAGTTATAGTCACCAAAAAAATGATATGATAATGCAGATGATTTGGTGGCATTGTGCCTTTTTAATATTTTATAAATTTAAAAATAAAAAATTTTTAAAAAAAAAAAAAATCCTCATTTAAAGTCTGCACCGAGATTCGAACCTGTTGCCTTACGAAAAACTTTTGTGCGTTCACTTTACCTGTTGTACCATATTAGTGAAATTCCGAATATAACAAATATGCAGCTAAAGAAAAATTTGCACAAATTGCTTGAAAAACTATCTATCCCGATATTAGAAATTGTAATGTTTAAACTATACGATTTCAATATTATAATTTGGGATATAACATATATATGTTCCATTACTTCCATATATTAGAGATATTAAAATTTTTTCCGTCGCAAGTGTTTCTCCGATCCCTTCACAATTAAAAGCTTGTCTAAATTACATAGTTTTGGGAATTTGTAAAACATTTTTAATTTTTTGCTAAGTAACAAATGTTTCATCTTTCAATTCGTTGAAATTTTGGAAAGTTTGTTCGAAAATTATACATGGGTCAATAAACAAACAGCTAACTCGAAAAGACCGTGTAAAATTGAATGGTAAGATATGGTAAGAAATGGAAAAAGGAATTATTTTAAGCGTTTATAAGGCGATTGTGAAACTTGAAAATACGGTGCAATTAATTCGTTATATTTTTTCTATTGGAAACTATCAGGGTATATAGTAAAGAGAGATGTAAAAAATTCGGATAAATGAAATTATTATCAGTGCACAAACATCATTAATTGACTTTGATAATCATAATGAATAAATAAATAAAATTAACGTTCACTTTGACTATTTACTCGGAAAGGTCAATATATAATGGTTTTTAATACAATATATACACATATATTTATACGATATATTTTAAATACAAACAACCCGAACGTCATAGTAAAATAAGCAAAACTCGTTTTGTACTTAACGTTCTATTTACATGTACTTGTGCATATGTATAGTATATATATATATGTATATATACCTCATTCATATGCAATTCACATATGCATATATATATATTTTTGTTTTTAAATATATACCTATATATAATTAATTCTGAATAATTGTAATCAAAAGCAATATAATGTTTTTCAATGTAACCGGAAACAAATAAATTTTGTTACCGTAGAGCAGAGCATAATGCGTTATTCAGCAGCAAACTATAAACAAAAAAAATCAAAACC